ATAAATATTTATTTCTAGATAAAATACTCGGCGTTGCAAAAGCGCGAAGCATGTTTTTCTAGAAAAACCTTGTTCTGTTGTTAAAACACAAATTCCGAGGATTAAAGTTTTTTTCTGAAAACATTTTATCTAATAAACAAAACAAATATGCTACCATTGTAATAAAATGCAATTTTTATAAATTAAGCTCAATACTGTGTGTGGTAAAAGCAGACTGAATAGATGACACACAAACTTTAGACATTATATACGATATTTCTTAAATACAGTGGTGCACACAAGAGGGGGGGGGCGGCCGGGCCCGGACCCTTATAGCAATTGATTTTTCGATTGATTATAATCCTATGTATTTAGTATGTAAAATTTAATTAAGTATTTGTTTTTAAATAATTATCTTAATTAATTCATATTATTTATTCAATAATTAATATTTTACTGTTTTTTGCTCTCCCAAATCGACAAAATCAAAAGAATATGTTGAGCGTCGAATTGGAGCATGATACGAGAATGGTGGACTTTCGACCCCGGACCCCACCCCCTTGAAAAATTATTGTGTGCGCCACTGTTTAAATATAAAATGTTTTAAGAAATTTAAAATATATAATTTTATTTAGCTTTAGATTCCGAAATATTATTCAAAAAAGAAACTTCATATGAGTTTGAATATGATTTTATTTTTACTTAAAATATGACTAATAACATTTTGTATCATGACCAACACAAATGTCTAAACAAAAATAATCATGTATTACATTACAACGCAGACTTTAAGTGTCAAAATTTACTCTCAATGTTGCAATAAAATATTAAGTGACAAACAGGTTACATTATTTCGTTGATGAATAATGAATGGACTGTGAATACAGGGTGAAACAAAATTCCGCTGGGGGTAAAAAAAACGAAAATCGGAGAATAAATTTCACATAGAGACATATACCGGTATAAATGCAATCCGAAGATGATATTCGTTTTCAAAGACTGCACGCGGTACTGGGTAGAATATTTAATTTACACTATGTAATAATACTATGTTCTAACAATGATGTTTTACTCTAGGTATTTTAAATTTCACCCAGACGCTTGTGAGATGCTTATAACGTTGTAAATATTACACTTCCTATGCGATTTTTTGTTCTATATATATATATTATATATTTATACAAACTCATATTCTACTTCTTCCAGGTTAAGTTCATTTATGCAAGTTATTTGAGCCACTAACTGAAGCGAATAGTACCTTCTAGTTTAGAACATAACGGCGTTCTAATGCGTAGTCGATATCAGAGGATCGATGTTTTGAATTAAAATATTTACTAATGTTATATATATAAATCGCTAAATATTATAACAGAATCGAATTTAACTTGGAATGCGACTACTCAGAGAAATCATTCAATTGTAACTCGCTTATTTATCTTTTCCAACTGAGTCGTCATATTTATCTGAAACTGAAATTTGCTTTCGATTTTCTCCTCTAGTGTCTGTACAATCATACAGTTAAATAGGAAGGAGGGAGTGAAAGTTATGTTAACGTCGCGCTATAAAGCTGCACTTGGGCTATTGACGTCGGGTGAATTAGTGAGTGAATATTAACGTCGCACTGTTCAACTACACGAGAGCTTTTGGCGACGGACCTCGTAGTTTTGAGCTATGGTCAAGTGACGAGGCCAACACTTGAGCTGACACCCCCTCTCCTAACTACCACACCAACAGGAGGACGTTAGAGCTCTCGACAGATTTACATGTATCGCTCCCCTACACGGCGGGTCTTTAGTGGTACTGGGCTCGAACTCATGGCACGTCAGCCACGATTCAATGCCTTGACCTCTAAGTTATCGCGACCCCCTTTTGACGTAGGACCTAGTAATTTTAAATTATGGTTAAGTGGCGAAGACGAGACCTGAGCTGGTCCAACACCATATATAAGAAGGTAGATCGCTCGTTGTGTCCCTGTAGCGCAATGGATAACGCGTTGGATTTCGAATCCAAATGTCGTGGGTTCGAATTCCACCGGAGAGGGCGTAATTGTCTGAAAATGTGATTTATTTTTACTATACTATTTTATTGGAATAATTAAATTTTATATTCATGAATAAATAGTAACAAACAAAAATAATAGTCCAACGCCCTATATATAGAAAGGAAAGGGGAAAATTACAAGAAAAATAGCTTTCTACTTTGCCACTTAATATTGTGATTCTGTCATATGTGTATACATATTTATATTAATTGTAATTATTTAATAAAAGTAACTAAAATAAAAGGTTTTTTTTGTTTTAACCTAAGTAGGAATTGACTTAATTTATATATATATCAGTGGCGCACTCAAGGGGAGGGGTCCTGGGGTTCCGACCCCCCAAAACCCTTGATTTTTTTTTCGATTGAATATAATTCTAAGTATATAGTACGTAAAATTTAATTAAATATTTTTATTAATTAATGCTAATTATTTATTGAATAATTAGTTTTTATTGTGCTTTGTTCCCGAAAATCGACAAAATCAAAAGGAGCCTGATACAAGAATGGTGAGCTTTCGACCCCGGGCGGCCCCCCCCGGGGTTGAAAAATTGGTGGGTGCTTTGCTGATATATATATATATATATTTATTATAACTTGTTTCTTTAACTGAAACTGAACTCTATTACAAAGCTAATGAAACAGAAATAAGTAAAATGAACTACAAAGGTCACCTCTAAATTTACGAGGCACCCAAATTCTGAAACAAATGCATAACACTGAATTAACATTCGGACATACATATATACCCTATCATAACATGTATATGAAACCTCCTACCACCCATGTGGTTACTTTTAATTCAAGCCCTCGTCACTTGTCCGTTGACTCATTGATTACAACCCAAAGTGTAATTAGTATCCACCTCAAGTTAACTTCTAATCAGATCAAGTAATAGTAATAATTAATATCGGCACTTTTTTTCAATTTATAATCCAGTAAGTACGTGTTTCAGAAAATTTTTACCCGATAAGTGCATATATCATTCAGTTACACGTAACAAACTGGTTTCGGCACTCAGGCTGTTAAGGCAAATAAACCACTGGGTTGGACACTGCGGCGCCGATTCCCTTCCCCACCTAACTGACAGATTTAATGTAGATTATTCTTGTTGAATTTTGAAGGGGGTGAGGCAACGAGGATAGACAAAGTTATCGTTTGGCAGGGGTGAAGGGGGAAAGGGGAGATGGACCTCGAATGAAGATACGTGGCGCCAGGTATGATGTAGAGAGAATGTAATTTGTAAAAGGGTCATTCCCATTTAAATTAACAGTGTTGTTTTTAACGATGCTGTTCAATGATTGGTTGAAGGGGACGGATGACGCAATCTCCCCCCTCCTTCATTCTTTGTGTGACATAAGAAAGGCGAATGATCTTGGAGAAAATTTAGGGTGATAAAAATGTTATTTGCGCATTATAACCACTGTGGGTAACCTAGAAACAGATATTAAATACAGTGAAAGTCGTTTAAGGGTGTCTTCAGCTGATGTTAAAGAATAGGACCCAAATTCGGAATATTTTTTAAGATATAAAAGTATTCGAACATCAACATTATATTCTGGCTTCGCTATCTTGTACAGAATCACTTATTTTAGCATACTGCTAATTTTTATACGAATTGCCTTTTTTTTTTCTTTTATAAAATGTGTTTCGTAATTTTCTCCTCTACCGTAATGGTAGCTATCCTTTCACATGTTAAAAGAAAAAAAAAACTAATTATTTATAAAATATTTTGAAAATTTAAAAACACTATAATATAAACAAATGCATGAGTTACTTTGTCACAAATTTTTATAAAAATTAAGGCATTTTTTCTGTTCTAAAATTACTCCACGTTAAGTTAACGCTCTAGTACATAAGGCGAAAAACAGCCTCTCTTAACACGAAACGCAGAGGGCTGAAATGATTTTTCATGTTAAAGGATATGAAGTGTAAAGGATAAGAGAAAAAAAAAGAAACGAGTCTTACAGTAGTCGCATATGATGTGTAACATCTGACATGTTATCGTGGTAAATACGCAATATTAATTTTTTTCCTGAAAAAAATATGAATCGGGTATGATTAGAAATAATTTTCTATCGAATAATTATATCTTTAATGAAAATTGTATTAAGTAACAAAAGGAGTAATGTGCAATATTTTGTCAAAAATAATTATTCTTGTTCAATTTGGGAAAGAGCGGAGACAATAGACTTATGATAACTAAAATATGACACATATACTTGTGATTTCAAAGTATTTAAAAACCGTTCAAAAACAGCGTCAATAACAGTACCACTGTTAGCAGTCGAAACATTTTGATTTGTGTTTATTTCGAGCTTGAGTTCATCATTCATAAAAGCTATGAGCTGCTCAGCTTTTGGCAAACTCAAGTTAAAGTTAAAATCACCACTCAAAATCAGGGGAAGCGAGTGATAATTTTTTTTAAAAAAGCAAGAACCACTTTCGTTATATGGTAAAAGTACAAAATGCAGGAAATCTTTAATTTTTTTTTGCCGTTTGATTCGAAGAAATGTATACGACCATCAAAATCACTGTTTGTCCATTTTCAAATAAGCATTCGGCCGCACTTATGTTCCCCCAATATCGTGACTAACGGATTTAGAGTCAAGCGCTCGAGTGCTTGATGGCTACTAGAGTTGGACCCCCATGCGAGGGTAGCGAAAAGACACAGCCATGCACTTTCATTGGTCAAATCAAGTAGCACGCGCTTACATCACATCCTGTTACACACGTCCGTCCCTTTTCACGAAATCACTCTCACAAATATCCAGCAACCGAGAGGAAAGATGTTACACATCAAAAATATATATTTAACAGAAATAAGTTTATTAGAGTACATTTTATTTACATAGATATGTATATATATGTATGCATTGAATAGGAATTATTAAAACAAAAACTTAATGAAATTTAATAGAAATTTTTGAAAAACAAAAAATTTATTTGGAAAGTAATCTGATATTTTTTTTTTCTTTGCATTGTCGTTTTTAGCATCCAATTGTTCGATGTCGTCCATTTTGTTATTATTTTATCATTGGAAAGTGCGTCTAAATAACAGAGCATACTTTTCATGATGTTCCTCATTTCGGATAACGTAGGAGCATGAGCTGCGTTATTCATTTCATTTTCGTCGTCAGAATCTGCCTCAACGTTATTTTTTACGTTCTGAACAAGTTCCAAAATGTCTTTTCTGTAATTGGGGCTGTACACACATTGTCATCATTTACTACATCGAATTCTTTCGATGATACAGTAGGCACTGGTGTAGGGTTACGTGGTATTTGCGGACACATAACATTTCGTGGTATTTGCGGACACTCCGTAGCGCATCGTGGTTTGAGCGGATAAATTTTTCTCCCCTTCTTAAAACAGATAAAGGGTGCAGATAAATAAATAAATACTTTTAAAAATCGCAAATATAATTTAAAACAGTAATTTTAAAGGCAAATATCTTTCACCTGGGATAAAGTTTTTTTTAAATTTTTTTTTCAACCGAAGTTTTCTGTTTTTTACACGATTATCGAATTACAAAGATAAATACATTTTTGCTAATCAGATTTATTTATTTATATTGAATTGTTAAGATATTATAGTGTGAAGGGGCATTTTAAACATAGTGAAATGTGATAAAAATAAACACTTTCAGAGAAATATTTAAAAATTAATTGTAAGTAACAGTATAATGAAGGGTATGAGCAAATTTCAGAAATTTTGTGGGAAACTGTATTTTAGAGTCAAATAAATATTAGAAGTGCAATTGCCATTAAATTAATTTCATTAATTTAAGTAAAGATAAATACTAGAAGTAAAATTTATTAAACAGATATAAGTAAATAAAAGAAAAATAAATACAAGTAAACAAATAGTAATTAACCTTTATTATAAATTTAATTATACTATTATTTTTTAAATATTTCTCTGAATGTGTTTATTTTTATTATATTTCGCTATGTTTAAAATGCCTTCACACTATAATATCTTAACAATTCAATATAAATAATTAAATTTAATTGGTAAAAATGTATTTATCCTTGTAATTCAATAATCGAGTGTAAAAACAGAAAACTTCGGTAAAAAAAAAAAAGAAAAGAAAGAAAAACGTTATCCCCGGTGAAAGATATTTGCCTCTTAAAATACTGTTTTAAATTATGTTTGTGATTTTTAAAAGTATTTATTTCCTTATTTATCTGCACCCTTTGTCTGTTCTAAAATGGGGGGAAATGTATCTGCTCAAACCACGAAATGTTATGTGTCCGCAAATGCCACGTCCGCAACTACCACGCCACCCTGGTGTAACTAGTCCTGAGTGGGCCCTGTATCAAAATTCCCTGAGGGCCCTTTTTTTGAAAAAGATATAAAAGTCACTTACTTTAAAGTTTAAGAATGTTACACATTTTGAGGGCCCTGTAGCTTGGCGGCTCCTATCACTGATACGGCGGTAGCTACGCCTCTTACAGAAGGACAGTCCAATAATACAGAAACTTTCTCAAACATTTCATAAAGTGGCTGGTGTTTTCCGTATTTTCTTCATTCCCAAAAGAGCAATCTTTTCGTGTTAAGCGATTTCCGTTTCGTGTTAAGAGAAAAAGTACGTAGTAGTTTGTCGGGGCTGTTGTATTATTTCGTCTTAAGCGTTTTCACATAAAACGTATTTCACTGTATGTAATAATTACGGAAATAGCCTGAAATTTCTGCTTGTTTGAATTCTATTTAGATAATTTTTCAAAAAAAATTTGAAAATAATTTTATGCATAAAATAATCTAGATATTAGTTTGAAAGGTTGTTTTTTTCCCCTGTAATGGGGCTGCTTATTGGTATTTGAACCTTTGCAGACCTAGTACATTCCCCAGGAGCTGATATCACTTTTTAGTGCGGCACCATTTAGGCGATACTAATTACCGCAAGTAGTTTTGACGCCCAGTTTCTTTCCCAGAGGGGGGCACCTGAGCTCGGCCGATGCGAATTTTTTTCCTAGGAATTTAATTTTGCCGAGAGCATCCAA